TGAGGGCAGTCTTTGTCCAGAAAAAATGTCTTTTTTTTTGCCTCCTCTCTCTTTGGTATCATCAAGCAGTCACAGATGGCTAGTAAACATGAGAAAGTTGTATGCAGTTTACTTACGGCCAGGAGGTATATCACTTTAAGATCTATAAATATTTGTTGTTTTATGTTGTCTTTTTCTGGTCCTTAAGGCTGCAGTTGACTGAAATTATTTTAATTTACTTGACTGTTGCAAAAGAAATTAACAGCAAATGCTTTTACCCCCGGCTTTATCAAGGTACTACTAATGTTTTTTAACTTTTTGCCTGACCATAGCCATCCGAAAAACCCCAAAATATTATTAAATAATTGCAAGGGTGTATGTTTGATTTCAGATGTGAAATCCCCGCCCCCCCCTCTCAAAGCCCACTGTCTTCTGATTGGCCAAGACCATATATGGAATACCGGCTCTGTATAGCTCTGTGTGTGTTGTACAAAGGAGCCGTTGATAGAGAAAGCTGTTGAAAACAGAGTGTTCAGAACAGGAGGAAATCTGAGGTTTGTGCTCACAGGGATTTCATTTATATACTTTAACCTCATGTCTCCTTTAAGCTACATATGGCCCCAAAAAGCTCCACCAATCAGATGGTTAGATTGGCCTGTTTCGAGCCTGACAGACAAAACCCGGGACAAGAGAGTCTGCTAATTCCAATGCCATTGCTCATAAGCCTTATTGCTGTGGGTGTAGGGTGAAAACTGAAGGTAGCCTAAATGAGAAAATCTAAATATTCACCAACTTATAGCTTCACAAACGTGGACTGTGACAGGTGGACAGTAAAATAACTCATCTTAGAGAGTGTTTAGTGAGTACATCAAATCAAAACTGTAAAAGTGATGGGGGCATTGCTCCCCAGTTCTCAGTGGAAATTACCTTGTAACAAGATATTTGCTCAGCCGAATTTCTGACATAAGTTTGATGTTGACCTGGACTCCCTGGCAGAACAGATATTGCATCTCCGTGGGACTTCTTGCTGGTTAAAGGGCCTATATGTATTTTTTCAATGAAATCACTTATTAATAAATCAAATTTTTACTTCCTTTTTGTCAATGGACTCTAACCTCACTTAGAAATGAAGCACACGCCTGTTTTCTCTGTTACATGCATCAGGCACTTTTCTACTTCTTATGTGAGGACACCAGGTTGGGATGTGGCCCTGCGCACTCTCCCGAGCCTCTCTAAGACTACAGCGACAACACCGCAGCTAACAACATTTAGTCCACTTAAACCATAAAATAACCGGCTCCCAGCACAACACAGACTCCAACATAAACTCCATTTAAGGATACAAAACAACAACAAAGTTTTATGTGCTGAAGCCCATCAGACCAAATGATGTCGGGTAAAAACAGAAAACACTGGAAAGTCACGGAGTGCGTCACGTTAGCTTGCTGGCTAACGTCGTGCAGTTGCTAACGTTATACAGTGCAAACTTTTATTGCTTTCCACATCACCAACTAACGCGACCCATGTTACTATCCTGTGTACCACCGGTATTATGTCTAAGTAGCCTGCAAGAAAGCATCTAATGGTAAAAAGCAAATGTAGAGCGATTTGTTTACTAGCCTCTAGTGATGTCAGGCAGGGCTTCCAGCTAACGCTACATTAGCTTGGACCTGCCGCTCTTTGCTTCGTAAGGTTCAATTTAGATTTATTGTCGTTTTACCTATTGTGTAACGAGCGTAGATTAGTTCAACCGCAAGGTAATAAAAATATTATTGTAACGTTGCGGTGGGAGTTTCCAGCATGTTGTGTGAAGCTGTCTCCCTGTCTGTCTATAGCTGCTGTCCCACTGCCTTATTCCAGGAGTATTGTGCCAAAATGCGGCTCACTGCGCTGTATGAGTCGGGAACGTTGAAGTAACAGAGCCAGAACATGTCTGGAGAAAAGCCACAGCCTGTATGCCAGTTTTTCTGCATTTATTGCAGGATTTCTGTATGAAAGCGGTTATGCTTCGGATTATGCTCGCTCATGAGTACACGCCTACAAGCACACACCTGGTTGCAATATTTAAACCGCACCGGTAGTGGCCACTGAAAACTACATATTGCCGCTTTAAAAATATGATGAATTAAAAAAAGTGTTGACTCACATTATGTTACACTCACTATTTTGTGCATACCTCTGAAACTTAAGAGACCTTGTTTTGTTTTTTCCCTGAAGATATCTGTAGAGTCCTGGATCCCAGATCTTCCGATCCTCACTGGAGTATACAAAGTTTAGAAATGTGTTGATGGTTAAAAGGGTCAATATATCATTCATACATTATGTATAACACATCTATTATGAGTAAGCAATGGACAATGGTGGAAGATAAGGGTGATTTTAAGACCAATAAAGACTGCATCACCTGCAGAGAAGACTTAAAAAATAATTATACTTAATAAACTTAATATAACAGACTTAATATATTCATGCATGCATCCTTTTTATTGCTCAATAACTCTTTTCTGATTTTAATGAAGAGTATCCTCATGTTGTTTCACTCTCAGCTAGCTTGACACTGCTGTGCTTTCAGTTCGCAATGTTTATGTAAAAGCCGGCAACCTGTGGACACTTTTATCACCCATAGATTTTGGAAGGCAGTAGTCGCCATATGCATCATTGGTTCGCACTTTGCAGAGCATGATTTATTGGTTCCTGCAAATGAAGTGGATGGCTAAATTAGCACCGGCTGGAGGCGAAATTACATTTGTGAGATGTAGTTGTAGAGCGCTGCTGGACAAAGTGGATATATCCTAGTAGTAGTTATGGAAGTGGTCTGTACTTGTAATAAGTAATAACTTAAATAATACAATCCATGTGTTTCTTGTTTTGAAGGTTGTGTTTTATATTAGTATAATCTAGTAACTGATTAACTACCTGATTCAACAGGATCTTTGACTCCTTATCTAATTACAGGCTTGATATTTAGCACGGGAAGGACAGTTAGCGCTAATCAAGAGTCAGCCCAGCAATCAACAGCAGCTTTCTAATTAGTAATTTATTTGCTAGTCTGGGTTTTGATTAGATGTCGCCTGAGGACCTCTGCCGTTCAGCTTGTTAAATAACTTGTCTATTTGAATGGTTGTGCATCTTATAGAAGAAGTACTGAAATGTTTTTTGTAAATATAAATGTGTACATCTGTGGTTGTACTTGTTGTTAAGTGGTTGGAAAATACACCTGTGTTTGCCAGAAACAAGCTTCATGGTCAGTAAGGTAACACTACGCTAATTCATTTGGTTTTTCCACTTGTATCCTTGCACACTCTACAGGTTTACAGGCTGTCATGTCATATCTCCCAGCAGAGATGGAGGTTCAGTGGTGGATTAGCAGTGCTGCAATAGTAATTAATTATTCAACAAACAGAAGGTATTATGTAGTTTGGTCAATAATGGGTGTACTCCAAAATACTGTAGCTGGTTCCCAACTCTGGGACTGCACCAGTCAAACACATTTACAACAAAATCCTTATCTATCACTGATATCAGTTGGAGAATCACATGACTGGTTAAAAATATCTTTGTTACTGTGATGTGATTGGTTATAAGTACACTGTCAAGCAAGGTAACATATCAACAGTATACTGAAGTTTCTAATTGGCACTCAACAAAAAATGATCTGTCTTTTTAGCAACAGTTGTAATTATGATTTATTACTTCAAAGTTAAAGTTCCTTTTCATGGCATTTTTACATTATTTAGTTTTATTTTAGTAGTTTTAGTTAGTATTTTGTCTCCCCTTTTACATTTTGGTAGTTTTTTTTGCAGGTTTCATAAAAACTATGCTTATTCAGAGTATAAATATATGACAATGTGAGGAGGGGGAAAATATATCCTACAAACAAGTATGTGTATCGTATGTTATCCAAAGACTTGCATGAATCTTGATTAAGGCTGAGATGCACTTTGGAATTCAAAGTTTGTGTTCACAGCTTGTTGATGTGCAAATATAAAATACAAAAATACCACCAGTATGTAAAGCTTTGCCAATGCTCAATGAAAATGGATTGTTCTGTTATGTTGAGCTGTGACATTTCCCTAAGGAAAAATGTCTGTGTTTCTTAACATGTTTTATTCATGGATAAAAATGAAATTTCTTAAATGATGATGTTACCGTGGCGCCCTGGTTTGGCAATTCAGTGGTATTGTAAAATATATTTATAAAGTCTAAAACTGCAACCCAGCTGAGCAATTGGCATGAAAGTCCTAATCCTCTTGGTGTCAATTATGGCTGAACAAGTGGCTCATTTTTCTCTTATTCCTCTCTCTCCTGGTGAGAAAGAGGCAGCGCTCTTCCATCTTGAACAGAGTTGTAAGGATTTCCCCCAAAACTTTAATCTCTAAAGATGCATTTCTTCAGCGATGCTTGGGTACAGTCAGGCCTGAGAGAAGAATATTGAATAATGTAATGTCTGAGTTAGATGTTGGGAGCTTTCTGAAGCTGAAACATGGGCTGACGATCACCGTGCAGTGCAGTAATGCTGCAAAGGTTACTGCTATATAAAGAACAGATGTTTTTAAATAGTCTTGGTAGGGATTATATCAAAGTGTAGTATTTTAGATGTGTATTTTATTCTTATAAAACCTATGTTTGTCTTCATATGGACTAGGGCTGCGACTTTTTATAATTTTCATCAATATTGTTAATTATTTAGTTTAGCTTAGTATTAGTTTAGTAATCTTAAAATCTTCACATTTGAAAAACTGTGTTGTTTTTTTCTGGAAAACTATTAACCATTTACCAGTATTTGAGATTAACTATGTCAGTTGACTATTGACTAATCAACAAATCATCTCAGCGCCAATATGGACATCTTAGTGGTTGCAGTCCCTGTTCATGAATTTCTACTGCAGTGCACTGTGGCCACTGTGAATGTTACGAGTGTGAATCATATTTTAAAAACTGTGAATCAAAAGCAGTCCTAAGAAGTGATTTTGGCAACATCCTCTGCATTCAAACAACGTCTTGTCTCGTTTTCCTTGCAGCTTCACTCAAACTCAGATAAAGGCGATGGATCCGTCAGGTACATTCTGAGCGGGGAAGGAGCTGGGACTATATTTATCATCGACGAAGTGACAGGAGATATTCATGCCACTAAGAGCCTGGATCGGGAAAGGAAAACACATTATGTCCTGCATGCACAAGCCTTGGACCGCAACACAGAGGAGGCCCTGGAACCAAAGTCAGAATTCATCATCAAAGTACAAGACATCAACGACAATGCACCTAAATTCACAGATGGACCCTTTGTAGCTACGGTGCCTGAGATGTCTGAAGTGGGTGAGTAGTGCTACAAAATAAACTGGACCTCCAAATAATTGCTCTCTTCTGTCTGAATTTGAGTGTCATTTATGTTGCTTTTAAGATATGTGTCATGGTTAAAATCCCCTTTACACCTACAGTAAAGAGAAAACTACAAGACCTTTGACTTTACAACGTGTGTATGTTTCAAATAGACTCATGATCTAGTACTGCTGCTCTAAGATGGTTTAAAAGAAGGTATTACCATGAAGAACTGTGATCAAACATGTTATTACCCTGTGCGGCACTCTGGTTTGCCCTCTATGTGATAATGTTCTCCAGAATGTTTGATCTTCTGTAAGCCAGCCCAGTCCTCTTTTTCATCTTTGTTTTCTGGTTGCTGTGATGGTTTCCCGGGTGGGCAGGTCTTTATAAAGCATTCAATAATGCCTCCACAGCAATCCCCGCCATCGAGACTGTGGAGTCCTCCACATCATAGAGGAAAGAAAAGCCTCTATCCACCTCCTCTGAGACAACTTCTCCTCATATGCCCAGCATCATGTGGCAAACATCTATTTTTTATTTCTTTATTGTACTGTTCTGTTTTTAGCTCGGGTGAACAAAAGCCACCCTTTTCTCAGTCCAGTGGATTCTGCCTCGAAGCACAATAGCTCAAAAGTACGGTGCTCTAATATTTCACAGCACTCCTTCAAAACATATGTAGGTTGTCCAAATGGTGGCCAAACTGCTGTCAGAGCAATTTTGCTTCAAATATACTATAAGATGGTGAATTTGTGACGCTGACAGTTTGTTGAAAATACTCCATTTATATCTGTCTGTCTAAAATAATCCCTAAAGTTGCTGAACAGAAGTAGAAATATGTATTAGAAAATATCTCAAAGCAAAAATGAACAGCTTCATCAGTTTCTTGCTGCAAGAAGATGGAAATGAGCAAAACTGATTAAATATGCAAACCCCAATAGACCTGTAGGCGCCATCTTTATAAACAGTCAATATCTTCCTGGTTGCATTCATGAATTTTCATGAACAGACAGGCCTGACACACATACAACTTTGCTAGTCAGTATATTTGTTTCTAAGTTGGATGTGTCAAGTACATGTCTTAATATCTTCTGGGAGTGCTGCACTGTATGTCCTGATGCTTTGTATGTAGAATAATACAGAATATTTTATTTTTAGGTTTAGTTTAAGGTGGAAAACTGTGCTGTTGCTGCAAAAATATGTCTATTAAATCTTACAACAAATGATTCTGATAATTAGATAAATTGTTTGCTGTAATCTTTATTTCTAAATGAGTGCATAATAGGGTAATGAGAATATACTTGCAGCACTAATTTGTGTATTGGCATTCTTAGTTTAGTTCTAATGAGGCCACTCATTTTAAAGTTTCAATGTTCACTGCAAACGTCATCATCGGTTGCACAAAAAGTATCAATCATCATTGATGACCCAAGGGAGGAAATCAAAGACTGTGAAGGGGAAAATAATTAGCCTTTTTCCCGCCCCCTCTTGCAGATGTCCATTAAAGTAATTCTTCTTTGGTTCGGCATCTGCAGCGTCAAATCGGCTGTAACAATCAACTGTCCTCACACTCCAGAGCACTAATCCCCCAGCATTTATCAATACTGGCGTTCCCAAGTGCAGGAAGGGGCTGTCTGGGAGTGTGGCAGCTAATTGGTTGTGATGTTCTTTTTCCTGTCTAAATTGATTAGCTGGGCACATGCCAGGTAGTCCAGCGTTACTGTTTCATACTTCCCATTCAATCATACATTCATATTTTTTAGAGTGCTAGATGAAAGGAGTATCAATTTCCCACTACTGGATATCTCCCAGTTGACTTGTCTCTAAATGGAAAAGCTGGATGTAGAAGCTCTGCTTTCCTGTCAACCATTTCACTTCTGGGAAAATCACTGTTTAATAGTGGTTTCAAAACCTAGAGGCAGAGGTGGTGGCTTGTTTAGGTGAGTAGTTATGATTAAATTAGTGTTATTGGAACCAGTGTATGGCAATTGAGCAGAATTGCACAAATGTGTAAGTAAGTGTTTAACCCTTTTTAACACATCAAAATAGATATTCAGGGTTGTATACAAAGCACTTTTGACACTTTGGATTTATTTTCCAATATTAGCATCTCTCAAATGTTTCCAGTAGATGCTTCTATCTATCATAAAACACAGATCAATTTGACTTCCCCCCCCCATAAACCCCATGTTGTATGATATGTACTTGTTGCCCATTCTGTTTTGCTTTCACATTTCCAATCAGTTTCCATATCTGATGGCTGGCCTCTCTGAAACCAAACACTTGGCTGTGTATGGATATCTTTTATCCCATTAAGATGGCATCTTATTTCAACCCATTAAGTCTCAATCAACATCTTTCTAACAAATTGCTGCTTCATTACAATTCACATCCAAGAAATTGGGGTTTTTTCAGCAAATGGCACAAGTCCCTTGACTCAGACTGAGGGAGGATGAAGAGGTGCTACTCATTGTAATCCAGTTCCCGAGACCAAACATGATCTCTTAAAAGTGCATTAGATTTTGTGATTTACAGCAATGAGTCCAGTGAAGTCAATAGACGTAGATGGATTGAAACCTAAAGGAGGTGATAAAAGTGGATGTACTGGGTTCATAATGGAAAGGATGATCTGTAAATGTTGAACCAAGTACAGATGTTTTTTTAAAGAAATTCTGAAGCCAATTTCCAGCGTGGTACCTTTCTGCGTAACCCTTTGCTGTTCCCACTTTGTGATGTTAGCACAATCTACAACTTCCATGGGCTGGTAGTACTCTGGAAGGTTTCATGAATATGAACAACTAGTATACACTCAGTTGTCCCTTTATTGGGTATGCCTGTATGGTCTAATAAAATTCAATGCAACTGTTCTGCCATAAAGGCAACTTTTATGATGCCTGTCATAGAGGTGTTAATAAAATTATATTTATATTTTAACATTGCGGTCATAGTTAGTGATGATGTTGTATTGGACTGCATTGTATTGAGAGTTGTTTAAACCCCCTCATGTATGTAAATGGAAAGGATAAAGTAGTCCAGTACACCACCTTTAACTTGACCTCAGTAATAAACATATAATTGGACTTTTGTTTGACATGTTTCCAACCAGTCGTGTACCTACAGTAATGAAGGGGCCACTGTGTGTGTGTACTGATAGATGAGTCTTTTGTCATCTCTATAATTGTGGTCATTTTCAAAAAGAACATTATAAAAATAATCCATGTGCAATGAAAGGTGTAATGTTCAACTGAAACCTTAAACTGATGGAGCCTCACTGCCGTCAAAGCGGTCTGGCATTCCAACAATGTAATATATCCTCGAGGACTCAATGTCAAATTTATTGCAAGGGTTTATCTGTCAAAAATAGTCAATTTGTTTCAACTGAGGGGCACTACCTGCAAAAGGGGCTGGGTGCAACGACCCCTTAACTGGGATAAGTCCAAGAACTCCTAGATCCAGTCGCTACAAGTTAGCACTAACTTAGAAAATTTCAGGCTCCTTCTTATAAGACAAACTACAAAAAGTCTTGTTAGGTGCTGTCCCACTGTAAAGTGTCTTTATGCTTCAGGAAGCCTGTAACATGAAAAAAGGTACTGTGACAAGATTTCTATTAGAGTTACACATTTTGAAAAAAACTGGAGAAAATATGTAGGCTTGATAAAGAGTTCAGATTCTTCACCATGCTATACAGAAATATTAATCATAAGAGGTCACAGATGAGCATTGTCTTTACTTAAACCATTAACACAGAGCAGTTCAAGGATAATCAATTCAATTATGTACTAACTACTATATTTTCCTAGACAGATGATTTGGAACCGGCTCAGCTTCCAAATAATTCCCTGTGCAATATTCACTTCAAGGTTGACAGAGATTCAGAGTGCCCAAGCATACTGTGGAGTAGATGGTTCATTATGGGTGGGATTTCCTTCAGGTTTACAAGAAATAAAATCCAGTGGGTCAGAGTGTAGTGAGTTTCAAATGTTTATTTTATTTTAATTCCCAGAGGACAACAACAGAGCCAGTGTGCCCTAGGATGTACAATATAGTTCATGTTACTCCTAACACAGTCATATGAATCTTATATGTACTTAAAAGCTTGCTGTGCAATTACAATGCACTCATCATGTAATTATAATGTAATAATCATAATACTGTTTGAGCAACAGAGAAATTGAACCACAATGATTTACAAGGGATTTTTAAGGAAATTTACAAATGATTTGTCTTTGTCTCTTCGTAATGAAAAATGCTTGAAAATGGAGACCTGTGATTGTGCTCTTATTGCCATTTAAGGTT